CAATAATAGTGATAAAAATAATTGATGAGGCAGTTGAAGATGTTGGTCTCATGTGCTCAAACCCTTATTTCTTTTCTTTTGATTTTCATTCTTTAGAGGATAATTAAGAGGATTGGATATCTACAGTGTGAACTGAATGGAATATGAGTTGGACCACAAATTATTTAATTTACTACATAAGATAAGGACATCCGATCTGCCTTGTAGCATGAAGTGATGAAAGATGTCTTGTATTAATTAAGAATGATGAGGATACAACACTAGCAGAAGGGGGTGGTCTGTTTAGGGGCCATTTGATTACAAATGAAATTGCTGATTGCTTTGTGTTCTACTGGATAAAACAATTAAATAAAAAAAATATTCCAGGTTCAGCCATTAAATAAGCTTTTCAGTTCAGCCACTTCAGCTGTAAGGAAAAGTTCTCAAAGTTTACAAAATTTCAGTAATATATCATCCCCTTTACGGCCAAAACTTAATTTTCCACGCCTGCATCATTGCATGAAAACAAGCCCAAGGAAAAAAAAAAAAACAGAAAAGAAAAACAAATATTTATTCTATATGAATGACAAACAATATATTTTTCATACCCCTCACACCTGTACTGCCATCTTAGGAAAAAAAAAAAAGAAAAACAAATTCACTTTTGGTTCCCACTTCCCTCAGTCAATGTCAATCCTATATGAATGACACCATTTATTCCAGCTTTACCCAAGAAGTTTTAGCCATTGAAAAGCCTTAGAGTCAATTTAAATAGGAAAAAAAAAGGGTTTATTTATCATGTGGCATGGATTCAAAAGTCTAATCAACACTTCCTCTGCAGATCTGTTCTCTAAATAAATATTAGCCAATAGGCATTATGAAACATAAAAGAGTATTTGGTCACAGAAGGTCAGAGGAACTAAGGAACCATCCCAGAAAATCTGCTTTCCTTAAGATGGTAGTACAGGTAAATAGGTTGGCATGAGTTACAGAGACAAGATGAAACGGTGGAATATTTCCTTGGTTAGTGTTATGCAACAAAGCCCATACAGTTGTTGGGTTAATCATATAGTGCAATATTTTATTTGAATATTAAACACAAGTTCCCCTGTAAATCTCCTGCAACAAAAATAAATGAGAGAAACATTCAAACAGACACAGAGACAGACAATGAAAACAAACATTGCCTGGGTTTTGAGATTTCTTTTTTTGAACATGACAATATAATATTTTCTTTTAATGGGTTTTGAGGTCAGATTGATGTTGGTTTGACCAGTTAATCTAATGATCAAGATAACTCAGCTATGGATATTTATTTATTATTAATGTTCTTCTATACTCTTGATCATTTCCAAAGACCATTAATTAATACTTTTTCCTAATCTCATCACGCTAGTACACTTGGATCATACTTTAAAATATTATAGGAATTGGGTCCACAACACCCAACTCTGAAGACTAGTACAGCCTTGCATGTGCATGGGCTGCTTGCTTCTTCACTATCCAATTATGGACTGCAATGGGTCCTGTTAGTAGGCTAATCCTGTCTGGTTTGGTCTGACCCCAATCAAGTTAGGGTTGGGCTCAGGCTGAAATGACCCGAAAAAGTTGCTTCTAGACTTCCACAAAGTGGGATTTAGGACCCATAAATGGGTCTGGAGGCCCATTACCATACTGACATCTTTCTCTCTCTCTCTGTAACCAAGTTGAGACTTATTTATGACATTACATGTGACCCAAAAAGTTCATTTGATGTGTGGCATGGATAGGTACAAGAGGAGCTGTAACTAACTGCCCATGTGTGTTATCCAATTGAGAAAATGAGGAAGTCGGAAAAAGGGAGGAAAAAAGAGGAGAAGTGGACCACCCAGCTCTTTCAATGCCTTCTCCTGAAAAGAACCCAATTTCACAAGGTAAAATAATAAGAGGGCTGTAAGAGTGTAGCCTTCCTCTTCCAAATTCTTGAAAGTGACTTCCAATCTTTAAGCCTTTAACTTTCATATGAGAAAGTGATTAATGCTTCTGTGTGAAACCTGTCTGAGGATCTGAACAATCCCACTCTCCCATTTCCCAAGCTTTTTGTAAAGGCACACTGAGCTTGTATGGTCCAGCAGCTTTTCATGTGGAAGATTTAGAAAATGGCAAACCATTAGGACCCACTGCTTCTGACTCACACACATCTCAGTTCTTAAAGTATGTAAACAGAATGGGTTTGATTGCTCCGACTTGACATCTATTGCTACTTTGTTATTCCATACTATCCACCCTTTTTTGCCTCAACCATGTGCAAGGCCTTATGGTTTCTAGGTTGCCATTTTGTTCAACAAGAATGAGAAAAAGAGATTTCTAGTATGTTCTTTGGAAAAGGAAAAAAAGAAAAGGTTTCTAATGAGATCAATTATTAGCTTTGGAAGCTTTGGATCAGTGATGTGAGGGAACAAAAACCAGAATGAAAATATACCCATTCCAGAACTATTCAAACCACATCATTTCCACCATCTGGAAAATAGGAGATTTGAAGCCTCCTATTCTGCTTCCATGTTCTAAAGCATTTCAAAATTCCTCAAAGATGAAATATGTGGAATTGGGATGAATCTAAGAACGGATTGGGCTGCAAATGGTATCTGTTTGTTTGAATTCAATCCCATTAAGGGTGATTAATTGTCATAGATCCAAGTTTCATAAATGTTATTTTTTATTCATTTTGTTCATGAAATATAATATCAAAGTCATTTATAGTTCATTTTATTAATAACATATGATATTTTGACCTTTTTTTAGTTTAATAATGTATTAACAACATCATTCAATATCTTATTGTAATCTGAATTCAATTTTGGATCATATTGGAATCCGACGATCTGGTTCAAATTCAAATAAATGAATCAAATTTGGATCTACCTATATCTGATTCGATGCGATCCACTTGCAGCCCTAAACCCAGATTTGGGCTTCTCTTTAGGTCATGCATCCTATTTCAGATGCTATGAAAGAGCTGAAACTCAATACTGGACTTGGATGGGTTTAATTTGAACTCATTAATTTGAGGCCATGATCAGCCACAAAGTCTAAGGTTAAGCATCTGGGCATATACAATTCCAGCCCAAGCCCACATTAGAAGGTCACTGTCAAATTGTCAATAATCCAGTTGGGCAGGCTCAACCCAAGTACCCAACAAAAGTTTTTGACAATGAAGGTTCAAAAGATTGGTAAAATACAAACGATACAGGCCAACACCACATCTGCCTTTTGGGCTGGACACGGTACACATTCAATCTTGATGTATCGGGTCCAATCCCCCATCACCCTTTGTATCAGTCCGATACAGATGAGTACAATAGCAAACAGTATTTTTCAATTTGTCAACCCATCATCACTCGGCCATATTTCTGGGTCCATTCCACCCCTGAACTTTTTACCTGGAAAAAAAAACCCGGTTTGGGTCGACGACCTTGTGATTTAATTGGTCGAATCAAACTGTTTGACCGAGCCAACAGGGCACAATAAGTTAGTCATTTTTTTTCATGTGTTTTGGCCATTTTCATCATTAACAGTTTTTTTTTTATTTATCAAACTTTTTTTTATTTAATACGATGAATATAACTAGGGGTATTACCCAAACCGTGGGCCTTTTTTTAACCAAACCGGTAGTACCAGTTTTTGGAAAACCGGTAATTGGAACCGAACCAAAACCAGTCGGTTTACCAGTTGACCAGTTCAGTTTGTCGGTTTTTCGGTTTGTTACCTTATAATATTTATTACAAAATATATAAACATGTAAAAAAATTATAAATATATATAAAATATTATATTTTAAATAATAAATAATATATTATAAATATATATAATGTGTATTTATTAATTTATAATATATAAAATATACATAAATATATAGAAAAACTTGTATACCAGTCGATCTGGTTAGCCACCAATTTTTAAATTGGTTAACCAAAACCAAACCAGTACCTTTGGATTTTTAAAAACACCAAACCGAAACTGAACCGACCAGTTTGGTTAACTGATTTTTGGTTTGGTTTTTTATTTTTTTTGCTCAGCCCTAAATATAACATTAGAAAAGTGCCCGATTTTTTGCATTTTCTACATTTTTTGTATTTATACATATTTTTCTATATTTTTATTGTTCAATTAATGAAGTCACAAGTGGACCTGCTTGACCCAAACAGTTATACCACTGACCCGACACTAAATGGTAAAGCAATTCCATTTTATAAGTATTTTTTGAGAAAATATTATAAATAAATAAATTTAAATTAATTCAATATTATACAAAGTTTTTGTTTTGAAAAGCAAAAAGAAGTGGGTTTGTTTCAAAATCGAATTATGTTGTTGAAACTAGACTGTTCATGGGTGGGGTAGCCCAACGGGCTGGCCCAGCCAGGCCCATTCTTTATTGGGCTTGGATAAAGCTTTAAGCCTACTGGCTCACGCTTTCCCAAATAAACCCAGCCCAATAATCTTATATATAATAAAAATATAATACATATAATAAATAACATAACAGTAATAGTATATAATTAATATATTATAATATATCTCTCCAGATCGGGCTGGGCCAGGCCTGTGAACAGATCTATTGTAAATCATCAAAATGATGGTTTTTAAAACAAAAAAGCAAATTTTGGATTACAAATATTATACGATTTATTAAAAGATGATGGGAGATGATTAGATGAAAACATGTTTTTCAAATTAGATATTCAAGAACATGGTTTCGGCTTTCAGTTTTGGAAACAAAACAAACACATAATCAATAACATATTTTCCATGTTTTTGTTTTATGAACCAATTTGTTTTCAAACCAGCTGGTTTGTTTTATTTTTAGAACTCATAAGAAAAACAATTTACATTGAAAAACATTGATAGGTTTTCTAAATTTAGCCAAACAGAGACCTTGGCTCCATTTGGAAGCTTTCATGAGCCACATTCTATAGAGAAAAGTATCTAATCATTGAAATGCATTCACTTTCCATTTATGGGCTTCAATGAAATTTTCAATTGGATGCTATAACAAAAGAAAAGTGAAAATTTTGAACTTTAAAACGAATTGATAATTTAACAAGGCAAGTTGCATGCCCTCATGAATTAAAGGGAGCAATTTATGAAAAGGAAAATATCAAATACGCATAAAGAAATTAAGAATGCTGCTTTGACTGTTTTCTGAACTCTTGCAACTAGTCTTACTTTTGAATATCTTCTTAGTTCTCCCCGTCTCCTTTTTAAGGATGACCTTAATAGGCATGGAATGTACACTCTCCTGAGATTCTGGCGTTGTGCACAAGATTTCATCTGGTTCCTCAACAGATGTCACTTCTGATACTTCAGCAGAAGCACTCTGACTTTGAGACAACTGATCATCATCAACATTATCAAGTTTTCTTCTCTTGAATGGATTGTTGTCAGGAAACTCACTTTTCTCTTCTATTTCATCATGTTTTTTATCAAATTTTGGAGGTGCAATTAACTTCTGAAGTGCAACAGCTTCATTTTGGTACTTACTTTCATCCAAAGTTGGCTTACAATCTTCTGCTGCTCACAACACCAAAAGGACAATGACATTGGACAAGTCAGTTGACTGATAAAAGCATACAGAAACCATGCACAAGCAACTAGACAAAAACTTGTGTTAATAACATGTTGTGCTTGTGTTTCCTGGTAAGAATTAGCAAAATCCTTTTCTCATGGGCTATATGATTTAAAGTCTTGCCTGTGATCTTGGGGGTTTTACAAGAAAATACAGTGAAGCAGCTCTCTTGTTTGGATAAAACCTGGTCCTCATCTCCCAAGCATCGATCAGAAGTTTGAATGATGATTGGATCCAGAAGACTTTCAGCATTTGGACAGTGGTCGAAGGCTTGCATGGTAATTGGATTCAGGTGGCCTTCTGCAATAGCAGTTGCAATTGATGGAGGGATTTCTCTTTTTAATAATTGATGAAGGAAAGATTTTTTCTACACCAGTAGGAATTCTATTATCACCAAAACATAATCAACATCTTCACTTCTTTCTAGTTAAAATGAAATAATCTTTCTTCTCCCTAAATAAAGTAGTCCTATACATTGAGAAACCAAAAAAAGATAAAGATAAACTGTCCTAAAATAAACTAAAAAAAAAAGGATACTGTCCCAGAAAATCCATCTCCCCATCCAGATATTCCAATAGTTTTATGGGCAGAGGTTTCATTGGTTTGATCATCTTTGAGCCAGCATCATATCTATATAAAAAAGAGTGACAAGTCAATTGCATTCATTAGGGGAAGCAATAAGAACTAATAGATCAACTGCTAAATTGAACTTTAACATACATTCTAGCATGCCGAAAGACTGCAACTGCTTCTTTAAAAGACTTAAAGTAATCTTCAGGCATTTGGTTGCCCTTCTCAAACTTAAGCACGGAGAGGACCTGTTTATAGGGCATCATATACAGGAAAATATGATAAATATCTACCTATCAAAAACAAAATGATAAATATCCATCTTCTGTAACTGGGATACATTTATGGATCAAAGAGGCCACACCAAAGCATTTACATAATAGGCACAGAAAAAGAAGCTAACCATATTAATCAAGGAATCTGCTTTGATAGCCAAATAATGATATTCTGTACTTTTTATATAAGAACAGCTCAAAGGGCTGCTATATCCCTTGAACACTTCTTTGATGAGACTACATCCAGAACAAGGAGAAACCGAAAAAGGTCCAGGGATTTCCTGGTTCTAGATAAAGAGCAGTCAAGGAATAAGAGTGGTCAAGTAGCAGAACTGATGCTTCTTTATGGTATTTATCTCACATGGATACCCTCTAAAAATCTTACTGATATAACATGACATACACTACAAATTAACACCAGTTCAGTTGTATATGGTACAGATTTTTTTGGTAATAATATACTGATTTATGAAAGAAAAGAATATAAAATATGCACTTAGTGAAATTGCAATATACAATTATTTCTCTATTGTCATTCATCAGTTGTTAAAAGTTAAAACTGTAGGGCATTTTCAAAGAAAAAAGCAATATACATTTCTTTCTCGATTGCAGTTTTACCACTGCTCTAACTAGTTAAATATTTTAGAAGGTTTATGCCACTAGGGTCATACACATTATTAGAATATAAACTTCGGTTACACACAAAAATGTATGTTCAAGACCTCATCTGAAATAAGCAAAAAGTAAAAACCTTACCTCAAATGTTTTTCATGAGAATTTTAGACCTAATGATCAAGTAAAACCACAAGTTAAAAACCAGTTTGAAATGGATGTAGTCCTAAATATGTTTTTTATCAGCAATGAAGCCCTCAATATGTTTGCAGTACTTTAAGAAACTTGAGACTAAGATGTTAATGATTAGACCATGGATAAATAAGAGAAACAAAGAGATCACAAGCATCCCTGTTTCACAAACTAAAATGCCATTACCTAATGTTGGTCCCAGTTACCTGGGATCTTGGGAGGGGTGTACTGGATATGGACCTAACCTTCAGTTTACTTTTGCACAAAATGGCTTCTCTCATGAGTTAATTGACAAGAGTGTAGTTCCATCATCCTAGGAAATGCCATTATCTTTATTGTGCATGAAATTTTTCATGTCCATCTTGCATCCCATTATGTAGTTAAATGCAGTAAAACCTCCAGATGTAGCACTTGAAGAATATTTAGAAGGAATTAACATTATCTCAGTCCTATCCATCCACTTTTTTTTAAAGGGTCCTTCAGAAATTAGAAATATATTCCACCAGCATGCTTAAAATCAAAGAGGTTAGGCTTACCCTGTCTAAACTCTTATACTTGGAAACCAAGGAATAAGCTCGCTTGATCCCAATTCCAGGTAAAGATGGGAGGAAATCACAGCCGGATAAGACACACATTCCTGTTACAATGCTAAGTATGCAAAAAGTTAGGTCAATGGGAAATAATAACAAAACTTGAATCTGTGAGATAATTTAAACAAATAAAAATGGATAAAAGTTATTTTCCAATATATTTGTGTATATATAGATGAACTTGAAAACAAAGTAGGATAATAGGTAGATATACATGAAACGGAAACCTACACTAAACCAATAACATGAATGTTCTATTAGTTAATAGCAATGTCTAGAAAAAGCTAACTCATCTCAAGAAAATTCATAAATTACTATTTCTTCCTGATGGAAATTGGATCACCATGTCTAATGTCCAAGGCTCCAAGCTCAAAAGCCCAAAGAGGTCTTACATACCCCTCAGGTTTCTCAAGGGAATGGCAATTTCGCTCCTTATCTCACTGATTCTTGAATAATTTCAGGGGAAATCCAAAAAATAAAAAGACTATATTCCATGTAATCCCAAGGGTCATACAAAAGATGGTTTTGGAAGTTCCTTTAGTAAGTATCTTGCACTCTAATTCATAGGCTGGGATTGAACAACTTTCAAGATCCCTCTTTTTGATTGAGTTATTAGAATGCAATAAGGGGCATGATGGAATCCTCTGGTAGGATGTTTTCTTTGGTTTCCATCTAAGAAGTGAAGACATTTTACAATGATAAAAATTTTTCTAGATCAGTTGAAGTGTCAACAGAGGCTGGAAATTTTCCACAAAAATAAAAGCATATTTCATTAATAGGTAAAAGAAGCTTTGCAGCATAGGGAGGATCAGCAATAACATTATGTTCCTTTGTAATCCAACTGAGAGTAGCTGCAGCCTCCCTACTAACATCAATGACAAAACACTAATTTTGAAAATTTATCTTCCCTTCCACTCGTGTGGACAGGTAAGCAAGCACTAAACCCCTGGAGGTCCTATTTTTCATTGTGGCATAGATCACAACACCAATGAACAAGAAAAGTGTAGTACAAGCATAAATGGCTAAAATGCCAACTCTGAAGTCACCTGTGAACAAATCCTTATCAAAATTCGTGAAGGAATATGCACCAGCCACAGAATTGAAAATGCTGTCTAGCACGATTTCTTCACCATTTCCATATCGGTCCATCTTAAAGATAACCTGTCCACCATAGATACAAACAAATCAAGACAGCATTGTCTTCAATATCAAGTAGGAAGTAGAGACAATGGAATCACCAGGAGACAGTAGTAGACCTCCTCCTGTCAATTTCAAGGTTTTGTAGAACATCTTACAGCTTTACAACCATAGGCCATCAGATCACTATCCTCAGTAATCACAGCTGCAATACCCCCTTGTTCTTCTCCAAGGCTTGAGAGATATGCCAGTTGTGCATCAGCCTCATAAGGAGCAACTACGAACTCAATGTTTTCCGACCTCAGAACCTGAAAATTTGCTACTTGATAAAATTCTAAGTGCCAGAATCAGCATCTGGTGGATTAATGATTTAGTGAAGGAACATACTTGAATCAATTGATATGCCATCAGCGGGGTGATGCTCACTGCTCTCTACAGTGGAAAAATTAAAAAAAAAAAACATAAAAATTGATTATCAAGTCATACAATATCTTGAAGACATCAATAAACAGCAGACACAAAAACTTCCAACAACGAATGTAATAGCTCCATTGAAAACTCAGTCCAGCAATATTGTTAGTATGTGGAGAGATTAACGGGCAGAAAAGTAGTGCCCATATATGGCTTCTTAAGTGAATTTTGTATTCTGCCCTCGTTTCTTTCCCAAAGCTCAATTGCATTATTCTGGAGGATGTCATGGGTTGCACAAATTTCATATTGTGATTTATTTTATTCCAGTTGGAGTTTTCCTTGACCGCATTTTGCTTTTCCTCTTCAAAAGCAACTTATGGTAGTGTAGAACATTACATCAAAAGGAAATACCACCGGATTCAGAAGGACTCAAAAGAAATTATGATGTGATAACAATGACCTAAATATCATGACTAAGAGCTTTGAAACTTGTCAATTTGTACCAAGCAACCAATGCAATAGGCAGACTTAAGGAGGAAGAAACAGAAACTAAAGCTAAGTTATACCAGATAACAGAATTTTACCAATCAATCTGAATGTTGAGATCATATTCATATGAAGAACAGTTACTGAAAAGAAAAAAGAATGTTATGATAGAAGTGGTGCAGATTCTACAGAAAAGGTTGCCACACGGGAAATTAATGGTGTTGATGATAGATTCATTAAATCTACAAAACCACTTAAGACCATATCGTTACTTTACTGAAGAGAGAGAATGGTTTACATTGCCAAAGCAGCTCCAAGCAAAATATAAATAGCACTTTAATTGCTGGCTAATGTGCATATTTTGGTCACTACAATAAAGAAAATCTAATTGGGAAATGTAATAATTCAACCATTTGCCAGTGTCTAATAACATTAGGAACAAACACATTTAACAGGTTTCCTGCAATGATTGTCACTAAAATAGCAATGCCATTGTTTAAATAAGTTGATCATTCGATGAGCACAAATATCATTATTCTTTGCTTCAAGCATCTTTAGTTTTCACAAACACGTCTTGGGAATAATTACAAAATAAGATCCCTTCCGAGGCCTTTTTTTTTTTCAATTCCTCTTCAAATACCTCTCAAAGTCAATCCATTAGCTGACCAAATGCCAGAGAAACTCTGAGAATAAATAGAGGCAACTTACATACTTGGACCCATCATAAAAAATTTACTTGATAATCCTTTCCCAGGTTATCACTCTTAATCTCTTTCCTCACCCTACCCCCCCCCCCCAAAAGAGAGAGAGAGAGAGAGAATCGAAGAAATTTAATACCTGGAAAAATTCAGTGGCAGCCTTGTAATCACCTTCATCAAGTTTTTGCCTTGCCAAGGCAAGATTAGCTTCTCTCTTCCTAGAGCAATAATATCAACTCGATAAATCAATGTATTCAATGCATAGATAGACGGAGTTCAAAAATCAAGTCATAGTCAGAAAAGTGCTCGATTTCTTTAAGCTAAAAAATAATGAGGAACCGATTCAAAAATTAAGGAAAAAAGTTGAAGGGACTTGCCTGTGACGTTCATCCTCGGTGGCCGCTTTACACGGGACGTTTCCACCGTCAAAGACAACAACGGGTGTGATCTTATAGTGGCGTAGTAGATTGATTCGATGCATGAAGTAGTGCAGGTAAAGAGATTTCCTGTTGCTCTTGGAATCGAGACAGAGCTCCATACTGCACGAATAAGCTGCAAATATTTTCTGGGTTCTTTAAAATTCATTAAAAAAAAACATTGAAAAAAATCAGAAAAAAAAATATAAAATGTAGTGATTCGAAGGTATAAGGATCTCACCGCCCTTGTGAAGCCATGAATATGCATCAATTCCAACCTGTATCAAGAGGGAAACGGTGAGCAGAAGCAAATGTTTGGAGAAAAAAACTGAAACCAAAAGACGAAGAATAAAAAATAAATAAACTGCTCCATGATTAAGAAATTTTACACGCTTGCCGGCATATTTTTTTATGTGAACAGGCTTGATGTATGGTTTCATGAACCTGAGGAGATTTTGGATTCCCATTTCTTTCCCACTTCTGTAGATATTATTTTTTTTCCCTATTTTTTCTTTAACTTTATTTTTCTGGGTTGGGGAATGGAGAAGGTTAAGCGGAGAAAATGGCGAAACGAGGAAATAACTGGGTAGTCAAACCCAGGAGGGCAGGAACAAAACAAATCAAATTCATGTTTAACGTTCTTTCAATTTTTTTTACAGGCTTTCCCGCTAAAATTATTTGAGATTCAACCAATGGAAGGAGTTCCCGCCATTTTCAGTATTGTGTGATTTTATGGGGAGCTAACAGCTAACAATGGTGGGTCCAACTGGAAAACAGTTGATTGATACGAGGGGCGCATCCCCCTTGGAGAGACTGAACGAATTCGGGTCTCGAGGTCTGAACTCAAGTTTTGGGTTCGGTCCGGGTCTGTGACTGAGCTTAATTCGGACTGAAACGGGTCGGGTTTAGGTCGAAAGAGCTGGAACCGGACCTACCCAATATGAAATGTTGAGGAATCAGATCCAGATCTGGACCCAATAGGCAATAGGGGTTTGATCCAACTAACCCAATTATAATAAATAAAAATAAATGCTTATATTAAATATTATATATATTGGGTCGGGTCTTAATCAGTTCAGGACTAGGTGGAACCAGTTCCAAATCAATAGTAATTGGAACCCTATATTAGGACTCAGAACCGACCCATCAGTTCATATTCCTGGAACCAGAACCGGCCCAATCGGTTCAGGCTCAACCCATTGACAACCCTAAGCTTAATCCAAGGTATCTAGGTTCCAGCCTAAACTCATATTTCTGGCCTAGGCCCAACTCGAGTTGGTCCAAATCTAAACCAAAACTTCGAATTATAACAAAATCTTAAATAAAGCCAATCAAGGCATGAAAATGAATTTAAACCAAAACCAATGTTTTAAAAACTGACCCAGAATTGGAACCATTATGGACACCAATTCCCTGGGTCGATGGTTCAACCGTTTGGTTCAAATGAACGTCTCATTTACCAAAAACCGGGTTTGGGGCAAAACAAAACTGGTTGCTTGAATGATTTTCAAGCCAAACGGTTCAATCATCTGAGTCAACAGAGGTTCAAAAACATTGACCAAAACTTCAAATTATAACAAAATCTTAAATCATGTCAATGAAAGCATGAAAATGATGTTCAAATTAAAGCTCAATTTGATTTGAAATGAGTATAAATATAAATGTGTACAATGCAAAATACATATAAAATTATACAAAATACGAGGTTTTGCACTCGTTCATATTTGTATATATCCTTTCAAACTGAGCCTAACGGTTGCTGATTTGTTCTAGTAGAGAATTGTGCTATGTTTGGTTTGACGGGAAAGGAAACAGTACAAATGTAAATATGTACGGCGTAAACACATATGTACTCTACATATAAGGCTTGACTGATGAATACAAAGAAAACTGTTGCAAACCAAACCGCCTCTAGCCTGGTGTGGATGCATTAACAAATGATTACAGACCAAATAAGAGTGGAAGTCACTTTGAGGTGCCCATCATTTCTTCACTTGAGTACTCTGCTTTGCAACTCATTTTGAACTGGATTCAGAAATTTCTTCCTTTTTATGGAGTAATTTGTGTTTATTATCTCTGTTCTTGAACTTATCTCAACTTCAAGACTTTTGAATCTTTACCTCAATCAATTGGATATAGCATACACTAGAGCGGTTTTTAAAACCGAACCGGTCAGGGGTTCGATTACCGGTTTGAACTATCCGACCATTCAACCTAAACAGCCGGCCCATTCTGACAAAAAAAAATTAAAAATTTGAAAAATGGTCAAAACCGTTCGAACAGTTCAAACGGTTTGATCGGTTAACCATCCGGTTCAGTGGTTTGTTGACCAAAATCAATGGTTTTTGGGGGAAAATGGAACCGATCAGGTGGTAGGTTCCCGATTTTTCCAGTCCGACCATCCGGTCCAGTCTGGTTTTGAAAACCATGCACTAAAGTCATCAAAATAACAAGATTTGCTGGTTTGTTGCTTCTGTTCTCATTTGTGGAATAAGAAACATTGAACCTTGACTTACATGGTGTTTGGAAGCGTGGGCGTTTTTTGGGACCAATTTTCAAGAAAAAACGCCCATGCTTCCAAGACCCGTTTTTCACGAAAAAAAAAACCCACTTCTGCCACGTAGGCAGTGAGTAATACTATGTTGTTTGGTAAGGTGATTTTCATCACCGTTTTTCATGTATGTGATGACAGATAAACACCACATAAGATACACATCAGTAACCATTGGGGGAAATGGTTCATCGATGCATAAAACACCAAATTTGGCACATGTAATGCAAATGGTCCGTTTAAATGATTCACACATGTGATACAAAGTCTAACGTGTCTCAATTTATTTGGGAGTGCACGGTGCACCCTAGCACATACGTAACCAAGTGAAGGAAATCCAAACTCGTACAAATGCACGAGAGTATAAATAGACCGAATGTAACTCGGTATAAACTTATTTGCTTCAATTTATATTATTTGTTTGGGAGTGAGGTAAAAAAGATGACGTGATTCTCACTTAATATGAGAGAGAATTGAGGTCAGATGATTGTGGTGTAAATTTTGCCCTCCAAGTAATTGCAAATGAAACAAAAAAGTAGTAACCAAACCGGATGTAAAACTGAATTAAGTGCAAAATTTGTGCTGCAAACAAGGGGAAAATGATTTTGAATAACATCTAGAACGACCCTACCTATGTGCTTACTAGTGTGTCTAAGCAAAATGGTTGCCTCCTTGCTTGGCTAGCTACCTGCCCCCTGTCACGGGGGTAGAACCCGTGTAGCATCCAGGCCAAGGCAGGCCAGGACAAGCCTTATATGTAATTAGGGCTGCGAGTTGCCCAGTGTGATGGCTCCACCAAGTTCAGTAGCATTGGATCATGACCTCGGTTCGCATGGCCAGGGCACTATGTTGGCTCCTTTCGATCCACGGGAGGCGCCGCTTATGTGGTAAAGGGGGACGACCATGATGTGAGGCGACTTGGCACTGATGTGAAGGGTCTCCTGTATGCCGATGATGTGGGCACCTATGTGCCAATGATGATAGGCAACCACTCGGCCGGAACACACTCGTGCGCTATGGGCAACAGGATAGCTCATTCAGCTTAGGCAATGGGCTGGCGTGGTGAAGGGTCATGCTTAGGCCAGGCCCGCATGCCAAGTCTCCCCTGAGTGTCGGTGGCGCAGTGCCAGTCCATGCACTGTCCCCATGAGCATGTATGCGCCCATGAGGAACCCTGGTAGCCAAGCTGGTCGTTAACCAGGGCCTTTCCGCAAGGGATGTTGGTCTAGGAGTGCCAAGGTTAGGCACCCAAGGAGGTCAACCACCCCTCCTCAAAGAGTACATTAAGCTTTTGGAGGTCTGCCTGAAGATGACATCAATTCTCCCAAAAATCTTATAGGCAAAAATGACAATGGTGTCCCTTAACGTAAGCTTGCCAATTGTATGCAAGGCTAAGCCTGTGTCAAACCGTGACAGCCTCCCCCACTCAACCCATTGTCGTCCTCAACAATGGTCCTTCTGTGAATGGGGGTCTATGTTCCGCGCCATCCACTTGTGTGCCAGTTCCTGGGCTCGCCTAGCCAACCCGGGTCTCGCCTATGTTGGTGTCCATTTATGGGGACGGAACCATTTCACTATGCCAACTTGCCTAGACTTCACCCCCTGTGTTGAGGTTACTCAAACCATGCGATGGTTATGCTGTTAAAAAGTGCGAGAAGGGCCATCGAAGAAATTTGGATGTGTGCGCTTTGCAAAGGTCTGCCCCATGTATCATCTTTACCTCAACGCTAGACCGTCTTCGTGGTAGCTTTTTGGTGGTGCTACCGAACATGATGTAATAGGTCTACTCCTACTGTTGGCGGTGTGTGCTGGGTACCCTTTCACCATGCTGGCCCGCGAACTTCACCTCGCCGTGTGCGGGTTACTCAAACCTAGCCATGGCTTATGCTCTTTTGGCCCTTGAAACTACACTTCACCTCGCCGGTTCGGGCTATATCTTCGCTCCGAGGGGGCCCCAATGTGTTGATGCCTCAAAGAGATCTGACTGCATTGAACACGAGTGTGGCAACTTTTACCCACAATGTTTCCGAACATGCACTCGCCTTGTGATTTGTGATTGTTGTTGTAAGTGTTCCACCTGTGTGTGTTGAACTAAGCATGTCCTCCGATGCATTGCTGGTGTAGGGCCGCCATGCTCCAACGGCCAGTGTACCCACATTCCTATCATTCCAATATTGTGGCTTCCACCGATGACCCATGATGCAAAACTGCCACCTTAGTGATATTCCTTGACCAACCGTCGATACAAACCAATTTTGGACTGTTGTCCCCGCCTTATTAGTGCCTTAGACAAGCTACGGAACAATGGCCCATCCGTCATGAAACCAAGATGTAGGCACACCACCCACACCTCACCAAAATGAACAACAACTGATGTCCGTGAGGAAGCATGGCACTCCCCCACTCAAATTGCCACAATATTCCTTCCATGTAATGGCTCATGCGTCTGCCCCCGCAATGGCGCTGTTTTGGTGTCATTAGAATTGGGACAAGATGAATGGCCTCTTGCTAGGCCTGATGTGTATGCTTGCTTTGCACCCGAGTGGAAGTGCCCAGGGACCGCACCCCACGATGTGCTGCTTGTCGGGATTACCGCTTCAACTAGCTCTATGCTGATTTGCTCTGATACCAACTGCGACAACACTTAGCTAGCTCGCTCTGATACCAACTATCACGGGGGTAGATTTGCAGCGGAAGAAACCCGTGTGGCGTCTAGGCCAAGGCAAGTCAGGATAAGCCTTTTGTGTGCTTAGGGCTAGGAGTTGCCCGGTGTGATGGCTCCACCAAGTTTAGTAGTACTGGATCATGACCTCAGTTCGCATGGTCGGGGCACTGTGTTGGCTCCTTTTGGTCCAAGGGAGGCACCACTTACGTGCTAAAGGGAGACGACCTTGATGTGAGGCGACTTGGCGCCAATGTGAAGGGTCTCCTGTATGTCGATGATGTGGGCACCTGTGTGCCAATGATGATAGGCAACCACTGGGCCGGAACACACCCGTGCGCTATGGGCAACGGGATAGCTCATTTAGCTTAGGTAAGGGGCTGGCATGGTGAAGGGTCATGCTTAGGCCAGGCCCGCATGCCAAGCCTCCCTTGAGTGTCGGTGGCGCAGTGCCAATCCATGCACTGTCCCCATGAGCATGTGTATGCCCATGAGGAACCCTGGTAGCCATGCTAGCCGTTAACTAGGGCCGTCTCGCAAGGGATATTGGTCTAGGAGTGCCAAGGTTAGGCAACCAAGGAGGTCGACCACTCCTCCTCAAAGAGTACATTAAGCTTTTGGAGGTCTGTTTGAAGATGACATCAATTCTTCCAAAAATCTTACAGACAAAAATGACAATGGTGTCCCTTAACGTAAGCCCGCCAAGCATATGCAAGGCTAAGCCTGTGCCAGACCGTGACACCCCGCCATTGTCTGATCTGATCACAAGAACTTAACTACTATGTCATAGTGTTCTAATGTAAGTCAATGTTTCTACTACACCATCATATGATCTTATGCTGCAAAGCAAATTAAAACACATGACAATAATTCAATGTGGCATCAATTATTCAACTGCTCCCTACCCATTGAACATCTTCCATTCTCATCATCTCTGACTTTGTTCGGTTGTTGGTTGAGGTCTATTTCATCAATTGGTTGCTAGTTGGTTGAGGTCTATTTCATCAATTGGTTGTTCGGGATCAACTATCCAAGTAATAGTCTTCAAGTCTTTTGTGGAGTATTTTATGGACATTAGGTCATGTTTGATTCAATTCTCATTCTTTCTTATTCTTACATAAGATGAAATTGTAAAATGAATAAGAATGGGTAAAAATAGGTAGAATGGGAAAATACTGCTATGAACCAAACACTTTTTCTCCCTAAAAATGATTTATTTTCAGATTGATAAGTGCCATATGTTGCTCATTTTCATTCTTTTAAAAAAATAAGGTGCCAATATTCATAAACCGCCAGCCGGTGTCTCCTAAACTGTTGACATAGATGTTTACTGGTGGATGGCCAGCGTTCAATGTGAGCTTCCATGGTAGTCCGTTATTAAACATTTATGGCAGTAACAGTTTTGTAGGCAGAGTCTCTTCAAAAAATGAAAATGAGGAAGATGGGGCATGATTATTTTTCATGCTGCATGCTACCTCATATTTTGTGCTATGGGGCTGATTTTTTATTATATAAAGAATGTGGCGACCAAACACTCTTATGCTATTCTTGCTCATTCTTGCCCAGAATTAACAAGAATTGAAAGAATTAAAAGAATGAGGCCCAAAGAAGTGACCAAACATGGCCTTAAGTACCAATAGAGGGGTAGCCCAGTCGGTGTGCTAGATCTGGATGAATTGTTCCAGTAGTGGTGCAGTTTCAAATCCCACTATTATAATCTCTCTAAGAAAAGAACTGTTGATGTGATGTTCTCTTCACTTAAAAAAGAGTAACTATCCTTATGGGAGTGTCAAACAGTGATTAATACCAAAAAAAAAAAAAAACATGGCCTAAGGTTGTATTTAGTATCATTGCTGCCACTTTTGGCTCAAATATTTAGAGAGGCAATAACATTTCATGTCAAACGTGAAGATAAATGTTTTGACATGTAACTTGTTTAATTGGTACTTAAGCCAATTAAGTGTTGAACAAGTGTTTTGAACAGTATATATTTGGTATTGGCATTAATTGTTACCTGAGACTTTTAAATGAAGGTTGTGCTTGATACGATTGCATTACTTCATGAAACTTTGGGGTTGATCAATAGAAACTGGTTCAAAACGTACATCACATAAAGAAGTCATTTCAACTGAAAAAATAAAATAAAATGTGTGTGGATGATGGATCATTGTTGTTTAGAGTTGAAATGCTTGACATGCATTTTAGGAAAAACAACAATTTGTATTGATATCAACCCAAATGTTTCCCATTGTGTGTCATGACAATTCATATTTCACTCCATTTTCTAGACCTAAATATTTAGTGAACCAATAGCAATGGTACCAAACACAATCAAAATGTTTATATTTAATGTGGTACCACCATACAATACTAATCTCTCATCCAATGGTCTCCTGAAGAAATAATAATAGAATAACTTTTTTTTGATGATTGGCTCATTATTATACGTAGATTAACATCTAGATGGAGATCAAATGGTTCTAGAAACATTAAAAAAAGGGGTTTTTAGCCTGCACTCTACTCCAGAATTTAAATTTGAATTGTAGATCTACAACAATTCAAATTTATAAACAGCTTCACCTATAACACCCATGCCCGCTCGTGAATTAATATCAATTCCGAGCTGTCACCTACCCCCAACCGTACGGTGGAACTAGGGTTTCAGAGGTGGACTGAACGGTAAAAACCCCTGAAAGAAGATCTTTTGTTTTAGAGGTAGAGCTTATGGGTATTTGATGTGGTATATCCATTTTGTTCCACACTTCCATGTCGAACAGCACTTAAGAGCCAGGTCATTGGGCTATTTCTTCAAACAAACAGCCCCGATTTATGTTATTGAGGAAAGGTGTTGCTATTTTAATTCAAAATAGTCTCAACCAAATAAAAAAAAAATCACATTTAAACTCAAAATGCACTTTGATGTACCAGCATTTCAAGTATAAATAATCACTGTACTAAAGATCACCTAAATTATTAAGTTTGATTTGTAATCAACAAACCCACTTCATCTAGAAGAACAATAGCTCATTACCAATGTATGTAACATCTTGAAAGCCTTTATAATGAGATTTTCATTTCAGTCAAGAAACTAGAATCAGATTTAATCAGTTAAAGGATTTGAATTAACTTTCTAACTTGGATCAGGAAACAACATGATTACTTAAGAGTTCAGAATAGGGGACCTATACCACTCCACATACATATCTATATACATACATACTATTTTGATTTTAACGTAATATTCCTTCTTTTTCTAAGTGCAAGGCCAGCCACATTTGTTCATCTATATATCAATCTGTTTGAAAGATCATCATACATGCATGGTTTCATGGGACATTTTTTACCTCCTTCCTTTTGCCACATGTCATAATCCTATATTGAATTTTAACTTAGTAAACATTTAGGGTGTGTTTGGTTTGAAAGGTGTAGAGAAACCTTGGAAATGTCCTACCTTTCCCTACCTTTTTTTTTTATTTCAAATCAAACACAGCCTGAGAGAGAGAGATATGTGATTCATGATTGATTGTCATTTGTGTTATGGATCACATTTCAATACAGTAAAAGAGCACTGGCAAGAAATTTCTCTTGAACCCAGAGAGAGAGAGAAGGTTTCACTAGAAGACAAGCCCCGCTCTCCCCTTTAGCTTTTTACCATCTCACATGTGAACAACACACTTGTGACTTGTCCACACCCATCTTCAGAATCCAAGTCACCCCAAAAAGCCTAGCTTCAAGTAGTCAAGAACAATGAACCCTACTTTCTAAGTCTGAAACATGTTCCTTATACCATCTTTCCATTAAGAACATACATATATAGTCTTATGGGACCCAGCCACCCAGGTTTCTTTTGTGGGGTTTCCTAGATGGCCACGGATATACTTATAATAACATATGGCCAGCTATACCACAATGCCCACCACCACCTCTCTTTTTGAGCTTTCCTTTGACGACCCACTTGATCACAAACCCTTTTTGAGCTCAAACTGACAAATAAGGCCTGGTGAGTCAAGTAAAAGAAACCCTTGTTAGCATCAATTGCCTGAATTTGATCTTATATACTATAAAACAAGTTTTCTTTTTTATTTTGTTAACCAAAATGATCTTATATACTATCTATCTATGAAATAATTTACCCTTTAAGATATAAAATATAAAAAATTTACAAGAAAAATTATATCAGGAGACCTCCTATCAATGGTGTTTGTTTTTTAAGCCTGAAGGGTTGGTAACTTGGGTAAAAAAACCTCACTCGATTGGCTCTTTTATACCTCTTTTCTTCATGACAATCAAACTTCTTGGCTTTTCCTTTTGTCCCATGCATCTAGTCTTTCTGTCTACCTCCCTTTGCTTCATGTCTCTGACCTCAAAATAGTTAAAGTAGATAGGTACGCATTGTCAGGGAGAGAAAGAAAAGCTTGGAAGATGTCAAGAGAAGCAATAAGAGGAGACTTAAAGAAAGGCCTCTAGCTATCTAACTTTTCTCATTCATTTCTTCTCAATGGCCAAGCAGCATAGCAGCTCATCATCTGCTCTTCATCTCTGCTCCATCACCACCTTGGTCTTTTTGGCTCTTTTAATCACATCATCAGGAGCATCAACTCAGAGTCTGAGCTATGACTACTACAACTCTAGTTGCCCAAAGGTGGAGCAAATCATTCACAATGTGGTCTCTCAGAAGCTTCTTGAAGCCTCCACCACTGCGGCCGGCGCTCTCCGCCTCTTCTTCCATGACTGCTTCGTCGAGGTTGAGACTTGATCAGAGAGATACAGATCTCCTCCACATCCTCCAATCTCTTTCTCTCTCTCTCTCTCTCTCTCTTTCTCAATCTACATGACTACATTCATGCATGATGATGATTCATTGATTCTCATATGTTTGTAACGTAGGGATGCGATGCATCAGTGTTGGTAGCATCAAACGAGACGCACAAGGCAGAGAGAGATGCAGAGATAAACCTGTCATTGCCCGGAGATGGCTTCGACGTGTTCTTCAGAGCAAAGAGAGCTCTGGAGTTGCAGTGTCCTGGCGTGGTCTCCTGCGCAGATGTCATGGCCATTGCTACGCGAGACCTGGTTTACTTGGTAACCAAGAAAACTTTTTTTACCTATATTATTATATCCCACTACTGCATCTGCATCTGCATGCTTGAACACATATATATATGGTATATATAATTAATATTCCTGATAGCACTATGTGGTTGGCATTAATATTTAATCCCTACTGATACCAATCGAACGGTTGAAATGTGAAGTGGGGTACCATTAATTGCAGCTTGATCACCCTCCACCTTAATTTGTTGTTGGTAAGGTCACTAATGGAGGGTGGATCCAGCAGTACAGCACAACATCCTTTGTAATTCAGTCACAGTGTTGGATCGTTGGATGTGTTTGAACCCAAAATAAAATTAAGTAAATAGCCAACCTCCCAATTCTCTTAGGCTGTGTTTGATAAGGATGTTCACAAAATTTCTGAAGAAGTTGCCTCTAAATTTCTGTTTCTCTTTTATCTTCCTTCAACCCAAACATAGCCTTTTAGTGTGTTTTGATTGATGGGGAGAATTTGGAAAGCAGTGCTGATTCTGCAATTTGATGGATAACGAGAATGAAAACGCCCCCTACACATTCTATTATTCATCAAACCAAATAACCAATAGAAAATTTGGTCGATAATCCACTATTTCCTGCCGTTTTTTTAATCAAATTACAGTTGTACGTTTTCTAGTATCACATCTTTTTGGCATCATAGTCCAACTTACAGACCCAGACCACCAATTTGGACTCTTAAACTGCTAGTCCCACCAGTTTCATTTTGGTATTAGAAACATGAGTTGACTTTAAGGTTATGTTTGGGTTGGTAAAACATAGGAGAGATTTTTTTTTTTTTTTGAGAGAGAGAGAAAAGAATGTAGAGGTTCACAAAACTCAATGAACTTTCCTTCAAATCTTTTTCTCTCTCATTTCAATCAAAACCAAACACAGCCTAAAGATTTAAACAAAACAGGCCCCTCTTTTCTTTCCACATGATTTGATGCTATTCACATCAGGTACTGAAAGTTCTGAAGGAGCATCATTTAGCCTTCATTTCTTTTCTTCCAGAATTTGTCCTTCATTATTTTATTTAACCTCCTCTTCTCTTACGATCAGGAATGCAGTATTGTGACATAATGAGATTTATAAAAAAAAAAAAAAAGCAAACTAACCAACCATAGAATTAGAAACCGTGGGCCTAGATTTTGTGTTCAGGCCCGGCCCACACATATATGTTATTTATATATAAATTTATACATATTATATGCTATATTTTAAATTTATATATAAATATTATATTATGATACTTATAATGCATATTATATAATATATAATGTATAAAATAAATTTACACACATTATATGATAAATAATATAAAATATTTCATATAAAAGACTTTATACAAAAAAACTAGCCCAGGGGGCCAGGGCCTAGGCTATAGCCCTTATCAGGTCCAAAGCCCGACCCGGCCTGGCCCATGATTACTCCTTGAAAGTTGTGATAGTTCTCATACTGGGTCCCCTCCGGATTCCGAAAGGCCCAATCAATCTTTTAACAAGTTCATGGAATTGGGCCCAAAGATTCCCCAACACCGAAATTTGGCCATTTGCCTGTCATTTCATCAGTTGGTTTTTGACCCAAATCGACCTTTGAAGTTCTTCTGTCAGGGACTCGGGGAGGGCTTCGTCATGAAGTTGCAGTCTGGCAGATTCTAATTGTATTGGATGGAAATTAGGCTCTTTCATTCAAATCTGAATTGGGCCACTAAAATGTGCTAAGCCCAGATGATCCGGTTACCTGTTAAACGGGCTTGATGGGTTGATTTGTTTAATCTTAGTGTTGGACAGTCACAGTCGTTCCGATAAAGCCTGGCCCTGACAGAAATATCCAGATCCAACGTTTTAAAAAACTACTCAGAAACATAACCGTTCTGGGAATTGGTTTTCGGTCAATGGTTCAATTGTTCGGTTCGAATGGATGGTCCATTCTGATAGTAAAATTAAAAAATAAAAAACGGTAAAAAACCATTGAACATGTCGATGGTTTAATCGCCCAGATCAACGGTTTGTTGACTTTTTCAATGATTTTTTACCAAATTTCAGGTTTTGGGTAAAACGGAACCAGTTGTTTATACGATTCTCGGGCTGAACAGTCCGACCATCCGGGTCAATGGTGGTTCAAAAACGTTGCCCAGATCCACATCTCTATTATGTGGAGAGATGTGTAACTGCAATTCACATTGAGAGATGTGTGGCTACAATTCATATTGAAAGATGTGTAACTGCAATTCACGGCAGATAGAGAATGGATAAAAAAAATGAGTAGGAAATCTGGACTGGATTAAAGTGATCATTTTTGGGCCAAATCAGAATTTACATTTTCATATGAAAAAATTTTCCAGTGAGCCATGGGCAGTACAGCAGCAGTCAGTCTAGACTCCAGATTCCAGAGTCGAACCAATTCAAAAGTCAGTAATCCTTATAATTCCATACATGATATACTGCTAGTAGGCCAAGCCACTGTAGCGTCCTTCTCTGCCATTGAACAAATTTTAGGGTCGGTGCAAACACGGAAAGTAGGTCTAGATATAGTCAATGGACCGGCCGTGACTGTTTTACATGCCTAATTGAATGGGCCTGAAATGGGTTTGCCTGCATTCGGGAGGTGTTACATTTATGCTTGATTTGGACATGAAGTATAATGTTAAAATTGTTTATTAAGGGTCCATTTGATCTGCAGTCAGAATTGCAATTGAAATCTTTTGAAATCGGAAATGGAATCGGAATGGTCTATTCCTATAATCTGTCTGATTCAGATAGGAATAGGAGTGTGAATTGAAATAAGTAGGAATGGGATTTAATTTCTAAGAGAGGGGCAGGGAATGGCCATTCCAGTAGGAATGGGAATGGGATTCCGATTCCATCCAACCAAACAGCTGGAATCGGAATAGCCCATTCTGATTCTGATTCCAAACCCCTATTTCTATAAAACAAACGGGGCTTAATTTTTAATACAGATAAGTTCCACTAGGCACCACATAGGACATAATACCCTTATAAGAAGGAACGTCTAAATGGTGTTCTATAATAAGGTAAAGAACAGTATAAATGATTGTACTTGAATCAACCCAACCAAATAGGACTTTATTTTGATAAAATAAATGTTTGTAGTGCTTTCATCTCCACGAAACGGCTATATAACACCACGATACCAAACGCCACCCTAAAAGCTCAGTTCTGATTTATAATTTCTTTTCTTGTAAGCATTACTTTTTTCAGGCTGAAATCAAACTTTTGATGCAACTGTCTCAGGTAGGTGGGCCGAGATGGGAAGTGCAGAAGGGGAGAAGAGATGGGCTTATTTCTGAGGCCTCTAGAGTGGCTGGAAACATTCCTGAAGTGAACCAAACCGTCCCCCAACTAATCTCTCTCTTCAAGTCTAAAGGCCTGACTGCCCTGGACATGGTAGCCTTGTCTGGAGGCCACACAATAGGTTTTGCTCACTGCAAGGAGTTCATGCCCAGAATCTATGCCTACAACAAGACATTTGATATAGACCCAACCATGGATCAGAGCTATGCCGAGAGCCTGAGAAGCCCATGCCCTGAGAAGAACTTCGATCCAACAGTTGTGGCCTTCAATGATGTAACCACTCCTTACACATTTGACAATGCTTACTACCAGAATCTTCAGAAGGGCTTAGGCTTGTTGGCAACTGATCAGAAGCTCTACGCAGACCCGCAGACTCGATCTTATGTGAGCTTAATGGCGAAGGATCAACAGGGCTTCTTTGATCATTTTGTATCAGCCATGATCAAGTTGGGGAATATTGGGGTGAAGACTGGTAATGATGGGGAGATCAGGCGCGATTGTGGGTTTTTCAACGCTTAGATTCACATGATACTACTAAATAATACAATTCTCTAGTTTCATTTCTTCCAGATTGCTTTATTCCTCCTGTTTCTGGTTAGAATCAAATTTTATTCCTAGCAAGAAATGGCAGGGCATGGCACAACTTAGGAGGAACCAAATGAAGAGTTAGGAAGTTTATGAGTTGGAATCATTTTGTGTTTGGTTTGAAGGAAAAGGATATATAAAACAAGCAATTTTGGGAATGCCATGTTACCATGAGAGTGGATAAATTAATAATTGCCTCCTATTTTATTTTGATCAGAAAAGAAAGACATGAGCGTGAATACAAACGCTCCCAACAGCCTATATTGTTGGCCCCCAACAGCCAAAATTATCCCTAATACCGTGTTAATATTGTGTAGACAACTCAGATCACAGTTTCAAGTTTCTAATCAGAATTGAGTTAAAACAGAGGAAGCAATTAAAATATAGAGGCTCACTTCAAGAATATGCTGATATTTTCAGAGGGTGGCCATTTTGCTCCCAAGTGTGTGGACAGGAGAATTGATGAAAGATTCTAGAAGCACCCAAGGACTTTAAGTAAGAATTCATCACCCATATCTAATTTCATAAACATACGACTCCTTACAATTGTTGGCACCAAGAGAAATAGGGTTGGAGAGTTAAATAAGGGTAAAATACAAAAGCATTCCCTAAGTTTCTGCCAATCATAAAAACCTCTTCTTTAGTTTAATTTTAGCAAAATCCTCCCTTCTATTTTCAAAAAAATCGACAAAAGCCTCCCTTCTGTTAATGAACCAGACAAAAAACGTTAAATCGATATTTTTTTAAATACCCATTTTACCCATGTATGAGTTATTGGGTATCCATGTTTACTAAAATACCCTTTCCCTCTCTTATTATCCTGGTTCCTGAAGAATGGGTGAGAAACGAAAGGGAGAGGGGCAATAGGAGAACGAACCAGGAAGCAAATATTTTGGGAAGTGGAATGACTCTCGTGAAGAAGAAAATGACTTGGGCTAGACTCTGCCTTCGGTCCCATTGGTGAGGAACGATGAAACCCCATTTTAATTCGCTAGGGATTTACCAGTAGATAGAGATGGTTCTTCTTCAATTTTAGTCTTGGACCTTAGTTTCTCAGGCAGCACAACTGAAAGTGGTTCTGGTTCTAATTTACCAATGATTTACCAGTGGTTCTGGTAGAACAATGAATGTAATGAATTACCTACCAGTGGTTCTGGTTCTGATAATAGAAGGAAGACAATGAACACAGACCCAACATTTCTGACGATGAACCACTAGTAAATCATTTCTGACGATAATAGAAGGATTGATTTACATTGTCATTTTGGCAATGTTGATTGAAGGTTCTGACAGTGGTAAATCATTGTCATTTTGGCAATGTTGATTGAAGGTTCTGACAGTGGTAAATCATTGTCATTTTGGCAATCTTGGTCTGTCTTCCTTCTATTATCGTCGGAAATGTTGATCGAAGGTTCTCATGCAGGATTGATTTACCAATGATTTACCAGAGAAGGAAGACGATGAACACAGAGCCACTGCCCTTATTTCTGATTTACCAATGATTTACCAGTGGTTCTGGTTATGATTTACCAGTGGTTCAGAAAGCGGGGATTACCGATCAGGTTTCTGTAATTTCCAACTGACCAGATTGCACAATTTACAACCGATTAGGTTTCTGTAATTTACCATTCCCAACTCATCTTCTGCTCTGATGGCCTCAAACGCAACCTCAACTCAATTACTACAACCATTTCTTTGGAATCTATGGTCGGATCGGATCTGCCCCTATTTTCTTCCCAATCCAATGTTTCCAAAGAGCTGCCCCTGTTACGCATGTTTGATGGGTCCTAAGCAACCGTCCAATGTTTCCTAAGCGTCGGTCTCTATCACTCCATTATTACCCACTTACAGTGAAAAGAAGACAACGAACTATTCTGAAGACAACCACTACAAGATGAAAACGAACTATAGTGAAGGAGAAGAAAACGAGAAGAAAATGAACTCTCGTGAAGAAGAAAATAAACTCTTGTGAAGAAAACGAACTTTGGTGAAGAAATCGGCCGACAAGATGAAACACGACCGTCGTTCGGTGAAGAATCGTTGCCGGAATATTTTGGGAAGTGGAATATTCCAAGCACTATGTCTGCTTGCAACTATTAATGTTGTGGTTTAGGGTTCGACTGTTTTCTATAGAGAGAGTAATGAGTTTTTCGAATAAGGGTAGAACTGGTATTTTGCAAATAGCTTATATGATTTATAAGGATAAAAATGTAATTTTCAATGTTTTTTGGCTGGTTCATTAACGAAGGGGAGGTTTTTGTCGATTTTTTTGAAAATAGAAGGGAAGATTTTGCTAAAGTTAAACTAGAGGGGAGGTTTTTATGATCATCAGAAACCTCAAAGGAGGTTTTTGTATTTTACCCTTATTATTGTTATTATTATTATTATTTGCCTGGTGGAATGAGAGAGGCAATTCTCTCAAATGCGAGAATGCCATCCCACCAGAAATGGTAATCAAAATCCCATCCTACCCAACCAAACAGTTGAACCGTTTATTGTTCTCAATTTGCTTATTGAAATAATGAAAACATTAAGCACATCAGATTTACGAGTCATAGGGAAGATCTAAGGCCTTATTGGCTTTTTGGTAAGTTACTTACCCAGGTAAAGTTTTCCCTGGGAAACACTTATCAGGTAAATGCATTTACCCATGTTCTTTTGTTTCTCATGTAAATAAGACAATGACCATTTTAGCCATAAAAATCCATTATTAAAAGAGGCATTTTTGTCCCATTTAAGTGATACCTAGGAAAATAAAATTTTCCTATTCCCCACAAAAATCTGAAAATAGAACATGGGATTCTTGGTCAACGGGAACCAAAATCCCATTAGCCAACTTTCCCCCCTCTCAAAATTCAAAAAAAGAACGCCCCCAAGAGTAATTCTTGGAGAGATTGAGATTTTTGGATTGATCATTAATCCAGCCCAACCAGCCCGACTTGCACCCCCCTAAGCAGAAGTTCAGCTTACTTGATGAAACTAGCATGTGGATCTTGGAGAGAATTCTAAAAATACAAGAGGTTGGATTTGGAGAGAAGTCTAACAAGTCTACTTGTAACTCACCCAAATCCATCCATTTAAGATGTGGGTGGGACACGGGCTGACTGATCTATCTTTCTTCTTCCAAATTTCTCTTTCTTCTCTATATATTTTTTCTTTTCCATGGATTGTCATTTCTCTCTTTCTCTTCCAATTTTCTTTATTAATTTCTCTCTCATGGATTCTCTCTCCTCCCTTTCCCTCCTTTTTATATCCTCTCCTGGCTTTAAGTCTATATTGTGTTGTACCTTCCTCTCTCTTTGTAAACAAACAGGAAAAAGAGAAAAAAAAAACAAAAAAGAGAATCATATTGAGATTTTACAAAGAAAAAGGAAATTTTAAGAGTTTGACCGGAACTAGCTAATTGCTTACTAATTTTATTTTAAACACTTGGTTTAAGAGTTTAAAATGCCTTGTTATTTAGTCTTAAATAAAATCTTATATTTTAATATTAATTTAATTAATTTCTATTTATTGGATGATTTTCATGGGCATGCCTCATTCATAAGTTGTAGAATCTCTTGACTTGAAAAAGGAAATAAATACTTTGACAATGCTTTCTTTTGGCTAAAGTAACAAAGCAAGTCAGCAACACATTATTTTCTTTTCTTTTAATTGACCAAAATGCCCTTACTATACCTTAGGGATGGTTCCTAAACTTATCCGATTCAGTTAATCGACGATGCCATTTAAAGGTGAAATTGGCTTGGATGCCGTACAATATTGTGACTATTAAAAGTGCACCTTTAATTTAAAATCATGATGCACTCTTTAAATGATGTAATTTATTTAACAGATTGATGTTCATAGAGTAATGGATCCAACTGGACTGAATTGGATCATTCATCTATCGGTTGGGCCCGGGCATATAACCCAGAAGGTTGGACCGTTTGGCCTGGGAACCGTCCACAATCGGTTCCGTTTCACTCTTAATCCGGTTCATGGTCAAAAACTTCTGACTTAGTCAGTGATTCATTGAGTAGAATTATTGACTCGTTTGACTCAGATTATTATTTTTTGGTCGTTTTTATTTTTATTTTTTTATTTTTAAATTATAACTAATCGTTCATTCAAACCAAACGATCGAACCACTGACCCAAAAATCAGTGGCCGGTTCCGGTTCCTGATCTAAAATAGGGAAAATTTACCGTGTTCAAATGGACGATGATTGGAAAGTGCATATATGGCCACCCAGCTTTACGAGTGATAAAAAGATTTCATTGACTGGACTTTCTTTATACATGGTGGATTTGGGTGTGATTTTGGACTCAAAACATGTTTTAATCCATTTCTCTATAGATGAAGACTCACTTTCTCAAAGTGTGGCTACGTGAAGCTTTCAAGGTCAAATCGTTTTTATTCAAGTTATTTAATTGGGAGCCATTGGTGGCTCTCGCCTGAATCAATTTTCCTATTTATTCTACGTAGGGTGTGTCAATTGGACTGGATTTGGCCCAATCCGATCCAGTCCAATGAATATTTTGGATCATTTTGGACTAGTCCAGAGATTGTCCAATCTGTTCAAATTCATGTTAATTTAAATTGGTTCCAACTCAAACCTGGTCCATTGACACTTATGTTCTTATCTTCTATCAATGGATCAGATGTTGGTTCAATCCAATACAAATTCATTATGAATGGATCAGGTCCAATCCAATATGTCATATTGGTTCGTCCAATTCATCCAAATTCAATGTCTTATTGGTCCATCCAATCCGTTCGAATTGATTTTGATTTGAATGGAGTCCAACCCAAAACCGGTCCATTAATATTTGATACCCCTAATTCTACCAATTACTTTCGTAGAAGGCTTGTTGCATCCTATTGCTCATGCAATAGGCTTAATCCTCTCTAGAATAAGCGCTTCTTGTGTTTGCATGAAGTTGGATAGAGATGGCAATTTTCCTTATTCCTGACGGGACCTGACTTCCCAATCCGATGGGGT